AAAAATAGTAAAATGATTTCTAAAAATAAATTAAAGGTGCTAAATTAGTTAATAATATATAATATTAGATTAAAAGTACTAGAATCAAATTTATAATCATAAACGCAATTAGTTCTTAAAATAGGCTAATATTGCAATTAAGTGCAATTTAGCTTTAAAAATACCAAATCAATTTATAAAAATGTGCAAAAATTACCTTAGCTATATTTTGGTATAAATATGAGAATACAATAACTGAATCACCAAAAATGATAATTTTGGGAATAATTATTGGCTTTGTACTGTTAAAATAGGGCAATAAATTGGTTTAAAAAATCTTTTAAAATTTAGAAAAAATAATAAGACACTTAGACATGCTTATATATGCATATATATACTATTTTGAAAGTATTTTGCATATAAAAATATACGGGAAAAAATTGGGTATCAACAACATCGATCAAATCTTTCTAATATGAGTCCATGCCTCCTATTTCTATGATTTGACCACGTGTAACGGCAACCTTTGAAATCTAGGTCAATTAAGTTACAGTAGTTAATACAAGACCAAAATCTGGAGGACCTATTTCTATTAATATTCCCTCCTCCCCATTTCTCATCTTGATTTAGGACATCGTTAAAATCACCACCTATAAGCCATGGGCCTTTGTAATTGTCAAATGTAGTCTTGAGGCTATTCCATAGACCTATCCTATTAGTTAAAGAATTACTAGCATAAATTGAACTAAAGAGCCAAGGGTTGTGATTTGGTAATACCTGAACTAGGGCGTGAAGTTCCTGATCAGTCTGCCTAACACGATCCACTGCTACCATTGTATCAACCCACACGATGACCATGCCACCGGCTCTTCCAACCGCTGGGATCTCTATTAAATCAGAGAAACTGAAATCTGCCCTAAGAATTGCATGGTTTTCCATTTTGGTTTCCAGTAGGGCCACCATGCATGGGTTGTGATTATTAATAAGCTCCCTAAAGTTACGCCTGAAGTCTGCATTATTGGCGCCTCTAACGTTCCAAATGATTATGCTAGTGGGTGTATTCATGAAAGGGGAGTGGTTCTGAAGCGTATTTGCATGGTTAATTCCCTTCTTGAATGGGCTGTCCCTCAGAGTGGGATTCAGTGGGACTGCATACTTTGCTGTTGCAGTGTTGATCGATGGAGTTATCTCTATTGAGCACCTTTGAAGTGCTACTGGGTAACGTAGTATGTATTTCTTGTCCTCCCTCTCCGGGAATAGCATAAGGGCTATATCTCTTATGGTTGAGATTTCTATGAAGGAGCTTCTTCCCGGAGGGTGGGGGATCATCACCTCTTCTGCCTCTTGCACTTCCTGATCCAGATTTGCTCCTTGTTCCATCGAGGGGCCACATGAGGATGGGGCTGAGCTTGTTGAGGTGTCCGCGGGAAGAATAGAGGATTCATCTCTGTTACCTCCTGTGATGGAAAGAATGGTAGTTCGAACATTTGGTTCATGTTCAGTAGGGGATTGAAATGTTGTGGAAGGTTCCAGTGGTTGTGCATGGTGTGGTAAAGAGCAGGAGCGATTGCTGGGGCTAGGGGATCGAGAATGTTTGCCATCCACATATGGTTCATGTAATTGTCCATAGCCATTCTCATCCCCCCGCCACCACTTGGGCTAGGAAGTTTGGATTTTGAATAATCACCATGACTTCCTGCCCTTCTATCAACATTGAGAAGAATAGAGCTTGGCTTTGGAGTCCCTGTTCGATCCATGAGGTAGGTTGATGGTCCGGATGTTGTGGTTGAGTTGCATAGACTAGGTTTGGAATTTGCATGGGGTTGTTTGGGTTGTTGAAGTTCATCGTGGGAGGTTGAAAGGAGTTTCTGGTCACTTTGTGAGTTAGTAGGGCCAGACGTGATCTTTTGTTTAGAGGCAACAGTAAGTTTGGCATTTTGTTGCTGTGGAGTGTTAGTTTTTAAGTTATCGGAGGAATGCTGTAAAGGTAGAGAAAATTATTGTGTATCTTTTGTGGAAGATTCAACTTGGGTGTGATTGGTTGAATTAAGCGTGTAAGAGTATATAGGATTTGTTTGGTTAGAGGTGTCCATAGGTGTGTCCATTTGGACAATGTCTGATGACAAGTGTATGCATGTGTGTTGCATGGTGTCTGACTTGTCGTTTGGAGATTGAGTATTGATTGCATGCAGTGTGTAATTATCGGCTATATTGTAGCTGTCAGCGGCTTCTTGATTTGGCAGCAACTTGCCATGCAAGTGTTCAGCATGCTCATTGGTGGTAGCCACGTTTTGTACACGTGGAATGTGTATTGTGGCCTTGTTCCTTGTTTGTATCGAAGAGATTTTGTGTGTGGAAGAGGAAAGGTTTTATGGTTGCAGAGGAATGTCTGTGGGGATGTCCATTCCTTCGTATTCCTCTATTTTCTGAAGAGTTTCGAATTTATTATGGAGTAGTTGTGGTTGATTAATAATATTAGAGTCCATTTTCCTTGTTGAGTTCATGGTTGTTTGTTTGTTGGGTGTGTATATTAGGCTGGGATTGGGGAGTTGGGATTCGTCAGTATCTTTAGACCTATAGGAGAGCTTTTGAGTGTGGAGGTACTTACCCGTGGCTGCTTCAAAATTTTTGACATTAATACATGCGTATCCGCTTTGAGTGTTTTGTTGGTGTGTAATGGTTATGCCTTGCTATTCCTCATTGCTCTTGACCGTGGTATACTTGCCTGTGCTTTACTCCTCTTTTGTAAGGCCACCGTTTGCCAATGGTTTGTGGAGGTGGTGGAGGTCCACCATTTTGTGCTCTGCATCAGGAGGTGTAGGGGTAGATTTGGTGTGAGAGCAGTGCTGGGTTGTGTGTCCTAGTCTCCCACAAGCTTAGCTTTGCAGAGGATGTGTTCACATTCATAAATGATTTGCTGTTTGCAGTTGCCTATCAGAATGCAAGATTGAACTGGCTCTTCGAGTTGCATCTCAATGCAGAGGCGTGCGTATCGTCCTCGCAGTGCTGCACTTGTGCATGCATCAATCTTCAGAAGTTTTCCTATGGTGTTGCCTATTTTCCTTAATATAATGGCATCATAGAACTCAGTGGGCATCTGGGGAAGTCGTATCCAAATGGCTGACCTTTCCTGGGTGGCATTGCTTGCAATGAAGTTTGGTTCCCATTTTTTTATGGATAGGAAAAAGCTATTGATAAACCAGGGGCCATTTTGCAGGGCACTAATCATATTTTCCTCCTTGCTAAATTTGACAATAAAATAATCGGAGCCAAGATCTATGAGCGGGAAGTTCTCCGATGGTTTCCACATTTCTTGTATTTTCTTTTTTAGATATTGGTGTTGTATAGTTTACCTAGAAGTTTAATGATCAGAGAGTGTTTCCATGGTAGATACATTCTGTTTTTGTCATCCTCCGATAGTTGAATTGTTCTTATGCCTTCATGTAATTCATTTGAGGTTAAGACCATGGGATCCTCTGTTTTGTTGTGTTCATCCTTTGCATGGTCGTTTTCCACCATATCAATATGCATCATATATTCTGTCATGGGCGGCTTTCCAGTCATGCCCCATGACCCCTTGGGCGCGCCCCGTGGCGTCCTAGCGAACCTCCCAATGCCTAGCGCCACGGACGGCCCCGTGGTCTTGGCCGCGCCAAGTGACAAGCGCGCAGGTGCCTCTGTCGCCCCACCGATATCCCTCGCGAGCGCAATGCCGCAGGCAGAAGCCAACAGCGCCGCGCGCGCAGACCGTGATGCCAAAGACACTGCTGCTGACAACGGGCCTGCTGCTGCCTTATAGAAAACTAAGTCATTTTCATTGTAAATATAGAGTAGTTTATTTCATGCACTTTCCATTATGTTTCTCTAGCTTAATTAGGTCTACTCCTGTAACTTTGGTTTATTTTTTTTAAGTACTATTAGGGGGGATCAAGCAATCAAAACTTTCTAGCAAGCAAGCAATTCTCTGTACTGGTGTCTCTCCCCCTCGACACCGCGTTGCTTTTCTGTAATAGCTTTCATTAATGCAATCAAGCTTTCTTTCATTCTGAATTCTCATTTCTGTTCTCTCAATTGCTCTTGACATTGGTTTTCCCGTACGGCACTGACAATCTCGTCTAGCGTACGGAGGGGACCTCAGTTGGCGGACAGCAACTGGACTGACATCAGTTGCCTAGCCGTACGTCGCCCTTCCAAGGAATCTCAGGAAGGCGCCGCGTATCAATTCTGATGCTAATAGTTTTTCTTTGAAGGATGATTGGTGGCTTGTAGTTGTAGTGTTAGTGTTTGTTGTACTGATGTCTGGTGGTTTGTGTGGGATGTGCTCGGCTTCCTTATCAGCTTCTTCTTTCTCCATCAAGAGACTGAACAACTCGCTGCAACTCCTCCCCAATTTTAAGTTCTAAGCTATGTAGATATTAGCACAGCTGGAGAAAGCTATCAGTGGCCTGGTGCCTTCGGGGATTAGAGAGCTTTTTTGTTGTTTGTGCCGAGTATTTAGAAGATTGTTGTGATTATGGTTTTTGAAATTGTTGACTTCTTTCATTGATTATTCGTAATACATTAATCGGGCATTTACGGGAGTTTAATCGGGCATTTACGGGAGAATAGAGGCGAAAGTTGAATATTTATGTGGTACTTAAATTAAATTTGACTATGATGTAATATTTATTTAATTATTTTTTATCAATGATTTCACTTTTAGTTGATTTATCCTTTAAAATAATTTTGTAATAAATGATTATACAAGTGGTGAATGTGAATTATATGTGATAAATATGGAAAAAAGAAAAAAGAAGAATTTGTTTGAAGAAAATAAAAAAAATAAAATTTAAATAGAAGATAATAATATAATACAGAAGAAGAGAAGAATATAAAAAGAAATATTCTTTTTTGGTGTAAAAAAAGGTGTAATGATTGGAGTAAATTTGGTGCTACACCATATGGTCTAATGTGACTAGATTTGACGTGATAAAATAAAAAAAGAAAGAAGCGAAGTCTTAAGTACCTTCTGCAAAGAATGATACTTCGAACTAATGCATTTATCTTGATCTGTAGTTTACGGTATCGCACAGACAAAACGCATCAGGTCTCAGCCACATTTTACTCGCTGTGGACTCTGGTAGAACTGATTGAATAAAGCGAAAGCTAAACATATGCTGCCAACACTAGTTTGGTAACACTGAACAGTTAGTCAGTGTCTTCTGATATACACTGGATACTTCACGCAGGAATTTAGAATTGTACTGGATGCCACACCTACTACAAGGAACAACAGAAAATTTTGAGGAAATGCAAAAGTACGGGAACCCCAGAAGCGCTACAAGCAGGATCATGTTGGAACCCCCTCTCTTTCCTTCGTCTCTTCTGCAAGAGCTACCTTTGAAAAGCCCAATCACTTCCCACTCAGAATATAGCATTCTAACCACATTGGGCGGCAATCATTTTCACATCACAGCCAGACTATTGATATTTGGTCCTCCTATCTGCCTCTTGTTTGGCGGGTGTTATAAGATTTGCAACATGGACATTTCTGGGCCACAAAATGAAATTGCACTTCTGAGGTGATTCCACAATCATTACAGAGGATCCAAACCTGAAATATCACCAACACGGTCACTTTCTGAAGCTCGTATGGCACATTAATGCAGCAATTAAAACGATTCAGAAAATGCACTCACTTTCTTCTCTTGATAAGACTCGGGCATTGGTGTTGCGGCAATCTCCATGTCAAATTTCTCCCACACCTTTGACATATCACATACCGACTTAGAGCAGAGAGGACAAGCATACCTGTTAAAGAGTTAAGGTCAACTCAAATTTATCGACGACGCGCATGTTTGAAGAAAGAAGAAAAACAATAACTTACTGGTAGTGTTCCTGCATCTCCTTTAAGCAGTTCTTGTGAATAGTGTGTCCACAGGGCATGACTGTCACATCATTTACCGACTCAAAGAGATACTGCATATAACCATTCTCATTTCATTTTCTTGCAACAAAATGCTGATCACAAAAAAGGTTTAAACGAGGGAAAAGGCAGCTACGGAGAATTTTTATTTCAATCCATACCTCAAAACAAACGGGACAGTCATGATGCATTGCCCCCTCAACACAGGGGTGGCTGTTCTTCAAGAGAACTGAATAGCAGCATCCTGGACCATACACCCATCACACAGTAAGAGAAGCAAAGTTCATAGATAATAGGGTTTGCATGCACAGGAGCATATGATAAACAAAGGAATGACTGAGACTTACTGCATTTGGAACAATGGAAGAAGTTCTCCATCCCACCAATCCTGATACAAGAAAATAATGAAAATAAAACATCATCATCATAACTTACGCAGAGCTAAGACACTAAATGTACTGTTATGGTTCATACTTTCCAGATGAATTGGTACTGTAATTGCAAAGTGAGCATGCTCATTGCTACTACATGTGGATGACATGTGCTTGGTGTTATTTGGTTAGTTGCTCCCTTTCGCTCATCCAGAGGTTCAACAGAGATGAGGAAAGAGGGAGGGGGAATGAAGACAGAAGACAAAGGATAAGGAAAATGGGCAAGGCAGGAGAATTTAACAGAGTAACCGTACCTGCAAATGCCACAACCATTGCAGTGATACTGTCTCTTGGATATCTGTAACACGAAAAATGAGAAGAGGTTGTCAGCACATTCCATATCAGAAACATTTCGCTTACACATCAGCATTTCCTGTTATCATCCACTCCTTGAACTCAAATATATCTATAAGCATTTTACTCTGAATACTAAAGTGAGGAGAATTTCGACTTACATCATCATCAAATAGCTTACAGGTTTCACAGAAATATTTCCCCATGCACACGCCACAATTGATGCAAACTTGCCGAACCTGGTAAGGGAAAGAAGTTATAACTGGTTAGCACGCAATTAGCAAGAATAGGAAGTACAAACCAATATTAATCAGTTTTTTTTGGGTTCTTGGTCAATAACTGTCTAACATACTCGAGCATCAAAATCAACATATCTCCAGTTAAAAGGACTTGCACCGCTCAATTACAAGCAGTAACCACAGGAAAGAGGGAATAACAGGAGCAATAGCTTAAAGACCACTCACCTCTTGCTCAGTATCACAAAGCGAGCATATAACCTGCAAAATACCCCAAGGAATGAGTACACTTTTTTCTTACACCTCATATGCAGATTTTTTTACAGATCAAATGAAGAGAAGGTGAAGCTAGTTGATGAGAAGGAGATAAAAGGAAGAGAATCATAAATAGGAAAAAGTAGAATTATTGGCATAGAAATAGTAAAAGCCAAGTTGGAGCATTACCCTTTCCACCTTGTGACGAGGAATGTCATGTCGAAGTTTCTGGTCAATGTTGATATTGTTCTGTACACAAGCAAATATATTACTACAGTCTTGACTAACCAAACAAGTAAAATGGATAATCTAGAGAACAATTTGCTGACAAGGTAAAAATCTATCATGACACGTAGCGGCGAGGAATGCCGTGATATGTAAATCAAGGTGTCTCGCAGCCAAAAAGTAAAAGGAAAAAAGTGTGCCTTCAAACGATTATGCAAGTATCGCTGGATGCAGGTACTTTATTATCTGGAATTTTACTGTAGCATATTGTGCACGTTACTTTTCAGTCACAATTATGATGACAGAAGTATCACTATTCGTAAGTGTGTACTCAATTCCATCTCCAATTAGCATGTCTATTGTTCAAATTATGAGTCCGTCGTTCATAAGGACTTACCTTAGCTTCGTTATGACAATGCCTGCAGTCAAATATTTCATTGCAGCAAGGGGCTCTAATGCGACATCTACGCCGATAGTGAGAACAGCTGGAAGAGAACATGTATGAGTGAATAGTTGACAATCATATGTCCACTATGTATGAGGTATAGGCTAACATAGTATGAGGATTTGTATCTATACCTTCAAGAATATAGCAGAATTGTTGATAGAATATCAAAGCAAGAGTGATTGGACAAAATAGAAATAAGTTTACCATCATAAATGAGGCAGAGAACATACCCATATTCCAAGTATCCTCTGTCATGGGCTTTTGTAGAAGAGGATTTTTCTTCACGTGTTCCATCCTCAGGCAAGTAGCCCTCATGGAAGTTCTGAACTACGTCAGCATCACTCTTAAATATTACGTTGTGTATGTTTATTGCCTCAGAACGTGGAGTCCCTGAATGTTCAATCACTACGTCTCCCATTGAGCCTTATGGATGAACTTAACTACTACAAGCCCTGCATCCAGGAAACAGTTAAGGAAAAAGTCCTAAACCTACAAAGGCATGTCTACTTGCCCCTCGAAATGGGCAAAAACCTCAGACAATGTTGCTTTCTCGCACATTGCAGAACACCAATTGAAACCAGCAACTACAGATTCCAACTAAGGTTGAACAGCTCCAATCAGCAAACTCCACCGTGAGAATTCATCAAACAAGTTGATCTACAAGAATCCACAAGTGGGTCCACAAGGAACCCAATCTAGAACTATCATGAAGCATTGTGTAGCTGCAAAGCATCCAGCAGTAAATAATAATGATTGCATGATCACTTCATTCTTGGAGAAGTCCTCCATTTAAAGAGATACTGACGAAGTGTAGTCCAACCTAAGGTAAAAGCAATGGACAAAGCATCAAACCCGTCCTCACAGAGAAAAACATTAGGGGAAAAGTGCGAGAAACTGCAGAGATGAATTATTTTGTTGTCCATCGAGAACAACCCTACCTCTGTCTGAGATTCTGCACCATGCCGTCTTCAACAAGGAAAACTTACCCTGACGAAGAATTTTATAAGTCCTAACAGCGTGTTACTTGGAAGCCTCATTGTCTGAAAGGAAAGTGTCATCAGTTGTGTAACAATGTCCAACTGGTCCATACTCTTCGGCTCATCTTTTGCCTTTTCTTTTTCTTATTCTTTTTTTTTTTTTTACTTACTCTTTACTTGTTTCTTCCTTTTCAACCTGAAGTTTATCTTTGTTAACCAGGACCTCATCAGTGGACATGCCTAATATTTTACTATGAGTACAAGTTTTGAGATGCATATAAAAAGCATCCTGTGCCTTAATATCTATCTTTTCGTTGTCCAACTTGGTTCGGTGCTCATGTAATAAGTAAAATGTATGCAGTTAATACCGTCTGTTAAGGAGAGCTACAACCACATATGAATGATCTCCTTGAGGAACCTAAGATTAAATTGGTTGGATGACAAAACATAGCAGAAGGAATAACATGCCAAGTCTTGGAAAGCACTCCAAACTCCCAATCCAAAGGCTGCCTATTAAAGGAAGGCAAAAACTGCAAATACCAAGAGCCTCTATAGTTACCAGCAAGTTGAACAAAAAATAGGAAAAAGGACACAGAGTGATGAACAAACTGAACAGAAGATTGACATGGATGTCCAATGAAAAGGGCACTTGTGATGACTGCTACTTCCGTTTGATTCAAGTTCCCAATTTTGCGACCTCAGATTGACCAAATACTTTCATAGAAATGCTAATGTTATTTTCGTAACAGGAAAGGAATAGATGAAAAATATAACGATCCTCTGCACCAAGCCTTTCCATGTAAAGTTTGTTTTGATCAGTATATTTCATTTATAACGTATTAGATCTTCAAAATCTCTACTTTAATATTTTGTAACTTGTCTATTGTTTATCAATTATATAAAGTTTTCTGGACAGCCTTACAATTCCATATACTCTATATCTCGCTGGAATTTCGATTCGAAACTGCAGGATACATACTATCGCAAGACATTATGGACAGTATACACTGAAATCGCGGTCATGATTGCAGAGTATATTTGACAACCAACAATCCAGGCAAATTTTACCACCACCAGTTGCTCTGATCACATCTGTAATTGTCCCACTTGGAAATTCCTAATCTCTATCTTGCCAGATGTTCACTAAATTAACCATCAATTTCTGTTGAAACACTTTCCACCTTTGGCATCCATTGTTAGGTAATCAATGTGAATAAACCATGTACAAGTTCAAGATAAGTTGGCAACACATGTCCTGAACTTGTAGCTACCTCAGATTAAACTAGAATTGCCACCAAGTGCTCTATCACCTCAGGTCCAAAGAAAGTCAAACTAAGACAAAAATCGCATATGGAGGTGACAGACGCTGCTGCCACTCACGCAAATTTCTCACACAATCTATCAACAAAGATAAATGCCCGAAATAGAGGAATTTCACTAAACGCATCAAGAAACGAAGGTAAGGTTAATAAAGCCATCAAAGCTGGAAAGTACATCGTTCCTATCAATCAAACTCTATCCATACTTACATATTGCATATATTATTTTATTTAACATAAAACAAAACCAGGACAAGTAACAATAATCAGACACCTAACAGACCAAAGGCAACTATTAATAGCACAACAACTGCAAGCAAACAAATGGATTGTGACTCAAGCACGGAAAACAGGATCCTCAACAAAAAAAAAATATTTTTCTTTCTTCATCACACAACAATCATAATTTCCTATAAATTCCAGAGAAAAACAAAATCATGACGGAAGCACAACAATCAGAATACGTACAAATACCACCAAAAGTCTCCTTTGTTCCAACTAAGGCAGACGCATCGTAATTCATATAAGAAAAAAATTAAAAAATAAAAAAGCAAAAAGCCTAGCACAGCCATAAACATAAAAGTTGAAAGCTTCGGCGATAGAAGCTGAAAATGCAAAGAAAAACAAAGCCAGCAATAAGTGCAGAGGAAAACAAAGAAAATAACAAGCTTTTAGCAGAACAACACCTAATGCAACAATTCACTATGAAAATAACAGAGAATAAAAAACGCGCGATTAGTTTCCTTTCCGTTTGCTTCTAGGGACGCGATTTTCAATATTAAAAAGAAAAAATATTAATAAATTAAGCATAAAATTTGAATTGATCACATACCTAGAAAAGAAATAAATTTCAAGCAAAACAATAGCCAAAATAATCGGGCAAATCAGAGGACTATATAAATGAATATAAAAGAGATCTAACGCAAAATCACTTAGAATAACGAACTTTCAACTCCGATCGTCGATCACAGACGCTCCGAACAATTCTCCGACCTGCAAATCGTAAGTCCAGCAAATGCAATGCAGAAAAATGCACGCAGTTTATAAAATATATATATTTGTATTTTATTATATGTTTGTGTGTAGGTCTCAGACAGGAGGAGGAAATGGAGGATTTTTTTTCGGAAGATTCTGCGAAGGGTTTAAATGTGTGTTGCTTTTATAGTTGGGTAGCGGGGGTGTGTGGGGTAGGGGGGTACGAAGAATGGTTTTCGAGAGAGTTCCAAAAAAATGAAATCTGTGGGCTGAATGCTGATGAGGTGGTGACTGAGATTTTAGATTATGAAAGCTGGCAATTCATGTATCTTTTGACAGGTTTTATTATTTTTATTATTTCACCCTTATAATCTTCTCAAAATATCTACTCACCACTGTACAAACTGTTGTTTTTTTTTTCTATTTTTTTCTGTGGAGATATCTTTTTTTTTTCATGGTTAAAACTTTACGAAAAAAAGAGAACCATCGTTTTAGTTTTGTGGACAAAAAAGGTACTGTATGTCGTTTTTTTTTTTTTTTTACATACATGAGGAATTATGGACATTAATCAGAATGTAAGAACTCAAGTTCGTCAATTTTTAATTAAAAAATTATTTTAATCGTGTTGGTTGCCGGAGAGGGAAACCACACGATTTGGAACTTGAGTTCATAGGGGTAGGAAAAAGGAAAAAACTAATTGTAAATTAATTTTCAAAAACGCCAAAATATATAAAGAAACTGATCTGATAAAAGTGTATGTATTGCTTAGTTTTGAAAATAAATTTACAAAAGCTAATCTTCGTAAATTAGTTTTTTTTTCTTTTTCCTACCCCTATGAACTCAAGTTCCACATCGTGTATAGCTTAATTAAAAAGAAGAAGTTATTGTGAAAGTAGATAAAGTATAAATTTTATGATAAACACATTAAAAATGGAAAAAACGTTCAAAGTAAAGGTGTGCAAAAAATGAATCGTAATATCAAGGCTAATATACATAAGCTTCAGCATGAGAAAACATCCACGCAACGTGTTGAAGTTGTCCATGTTCACAGGCTCTAAATCCAACTCGTTGGCACTTACAAAGTGAAAGTATCTTCTTGCTGGGCAAGGGCGGTGCTAAGAATAAGATAGTAGTTAGTAGTAGTATATATTATCTGTTCGCAGTTGGCCTATCAAAAAGTTTCCAGGTTGACCAAGTTGGCCTAAGAATATTTTCTTTTTTTTAAATGAAAATATAGTTTTCCTGTGACTTGAAAGTAGAGCCGTTAATATGGGCTTGGCCCGTTGGGCCAGCCCAGCCCAGCCCGTGATTTAGCAGGGTTGGGCTAGAATTTTTTGAGCCCGTTTAAAAACGAGGTTTTTAAGCCCGGCCCGAGTAAGCCCATGGCCCGTGAGGCTTGACTGAGGCTGGGCTGGGCCGGCCCGTGGGCCTAAAAAAAATTTATTCAAAATATATAAAAAATAAAAAGTATACTACCTCTAGAAATGAAAAGTGAGAATTGGATCTTTACTAAGAGGAACCAAAACTTGATTTTGAGAAGCTTCAAGAGATGGATGTTGTCATGTATTGGAAAGACCATTCTAGAAAATATTCCGATCTTTCAATGATAGTGCGTGATGTACTTAGTATTTCTATTACCATTGTAGCATCAGAATCAACATTTAGCATTGGTGGCTTGTTCTTACAAAGTACAGAAGTTGCATTTATTATGAAAATGTCCAAACACTTGTTACTACTCGAAATGGGCTGCACACCTTTCCCAAACTCAAACTGGTAATATTTTTTATGTGAATTTAAATATTATTAATTTTTAAAATTTAATTATTCTTAATATTTAACTACTTAATATTGCATATGAATTGTAGATGTAGATGAAAGTGAAGATGTTAAGACAAACTTGTCACAAGTGGATTCAAATGTGTTTGATGAAGATGATGTGTTGGATATCTCATAAGCATCATGAACGTTCTCTTGAATAGTTTGTTTTAAGTTTTGACTTTTAGTGAATGAAATATAGTCTTGTCTTTTACTTTTTTTTTTAGTGTTTATTGTGATATATTGGAACAATATAAAAAGTTATTAAGTTTTGCGAATTTTTTCCAATAAGATATTTTTTAACTTTTGAATAATTATCTTTCTTTAGGTAAGAACTTAAAGAAAAAATATAAAATTATATTTTTTAAAATGATGGGCCGGCCCGTGGGGGCCAGCGGCCCACATAAGGTTGGTGTGGGTTGACCATTATAAGGCCCGTCAAAATGGTGGGCTAGCCCAACCTAGCACATCAATTGCTAAAGCCCACGTGGGCTGGGCTGGGCTAGCCCGGCCCATATTGACAACTCTACTTGAAAGAATATATCATGTCACGAAGTTAATTGTGTTAGGTGTTTGTACCATATTTGGTTTTTCTATCTCTCTAAAAGGAAAGGACAATATATTTACCATAAATCTCCCGTATTTGGCTAGTCCTTTTTCTTGTAGGAAAATATTTGGACTTCTATAAATAGAGGATCCTTTCTTCTCATTCAGTAGCACAATGTAGCTATATGGGGTTTGAGAATCGTGTTTAGGGGGAGAAATTTAGGGGACAAGTGTTAGTATGTCACTTGTGTTTGCCTCTTCGTGAGGTTGTTCTCTCGATATTTTGTACTCTCTTTTATATAGTGGATTGTTCATCTCTGCCGTGGACGTAGGTCAATTGACCGAACCACGTTAAATGTTTGTGTCTCTTTTGGTATATTTCTCTTGTGTTGTGTGGTTTATCGTCGTTCAAGGTTTGCTTTACTAGCTTCCGCCTGCCACCTGTTTATTTCGATCCTAACAAGTGGTATCAGAGCCTTGGTTATTTATCCGAGTTGTTACGGAATAGAGGCGAATATGAGCAAGATGGTATGTTTAAATGGGAGAAATTATAATGTTTGGAGAAGCAAGATGAAAAATTTGTTGTTTGTGAAGAAGATACATCTACCCGTTTTTGCAGCTCATAAACCCGAGATTATATGAGATGAAGATTGGGATTTTGAGCACCAACAAGTATGTGGATATACACGACAATGGGTTGAAGATAATGTTCGCAACCATATTGTGAATGAGACACATGCGAGATCATTGTGGGAAAAGCTAGAGACTCTTTATGCTTCAAAAACTGGGAACAACAAGTTGTTCCTGCTAAAGCAATTGATGGCCTTTAAATACAAGGAAGGCATCCCTATCCTTGATCACATAAATGATTTTCAGGGTGTCCTTGATCAGCTGTCTGGAATGGGAGTTAAGTTTGATGATGAGATACAAGTAGTTAATTTTGATGATGAGATACAAGGACTTTGGCATTTTAATACTCTGCCAGACTCTTGGGAAACTCTTCGTTTGTCTTTGACAAATTCAACTCCTGGAGGTAAGGTGACCATGGAATATGCCAAGAGTGGTGTGTTGAATTAGGAAGTAAGGAAAAAATCTCAGGGTTTGTCCTCACAAGCAGACATCTTGGTTATAGAAGACCGGCGAAGAGATAGAACGACTCGAGGAATAGAGGCAAAAGTAGAATTAAGTCAAGGTCCAAATACCATAATATTACATGCAACCACTGTGACAATAAAGGACACATCAAAAGGTTTTGCCACAAGTTGAAGCAAGATATTAGAGAAGGAAAGAAAGTTGAAAATAATGAGAACAATGTTGCTGCTATTGTTCGAGATGACCTTCTTTTTTCTTATGATAAGAACGTCATCAATTTGATATCCCATGAGACGAGCTGGATAGTAGATTTTGGAGCTACCTCACATGTCACACCAAGAAAAGACTTTTTCTCATTGTATACTCCTGTTGATTCTGGAATGTTAAAGATGGGCAATGCCAGTGAAGTTAAGGTGTTTGGTGTTGGCACAGTTTGTTTGAAAACTAATAATGGTTCAACGTCAGTTCTTCGAGATGTCAAGCATGCTCCAGACTTTCCTTTCAATTTGATCTCCGCGGAAGATTAGACGATGAAGGTTACCATAATGCCCTCTTTAATGGCCAATCGAAGCTCACCAAGGGCACGTTGGTAGTGGATCGATGAGTTAAGTCTGGTCATTTATATGTGACACTTGGCTCTATTCTTAATGACTCCATAAATCTGGTGGAAAGTGATACTTTATCAGAATTGTGGCATAGAAGATTGAGTCATATGAGCGAGAGGGGGATTACATGTTTGGCTAAGAAAAGTTTGCTTTCTGGAGTGAAACAAGCAAAGCTGAAAAGGTATATCTATTGTTTAGCTAGCAAAGAGAAAAGGGTTTCCTTTCATAGCCATCCTCCCTCAAGAAAGCCCGATTTATTGGAGCTAGTACACCCTGATTTATGTGGTCCTTTTAAAGTAAAGTTAAAAGGTGGTGAACTTTACTTTGTGATCTTCATTGATAATCATTCTCGTAAGCTCTGGGTGTATCCTTTGAAATCTAAAGATCAAGCACTTGGCCTGTTTAAAGAATTTTAGGCCTTTGCTGAGAGACAGACGAGGAAGAAATTAAAATGTATTTGCACCGACAATGGTAGTGGTGATCCCTTTGATAACTATTGCAAGGAACAAGGAATTCGTCATCAGAAAACTCCGCCCAAGATGCCTCAATTGAATGGTTTGGGAGAGAGGATGAATAGAACTCTAGTTGAGGGAGTTAGATGCTTGCTTTCAGAGGCTAAAATTCCAAATACATTTTGGGCGGAAGCACTTAACGCTGTTGCCTATGTTATCAATTTGTCTCTTGCTGTTGTTTTGGATGGTGATGTCCCAGACTGAGTTTGGCTTGCCAAAAATATTTCTTATGAATCACCTGAGAGTTTTTGGGTGTAAAGCTTGTGTGCATGTTCCTAAATATGAGAGATCAAAACTAGATGTCAAAACTAAGCAGTGCATCTTTATCGGTTATGGTCAAGATGAGTTCGGGTATTGTTTTTATGATCCAGTTGACAATTAACTTATTAGAAGTCGTGATGCAATATTCTTTGAAGACATGACTATTGAAGATATTGATAAAGCTGAGAAGATAGATTCTCAGAGTAATGAGAGCTTAGTTAATATTGATCCAGATTCTATTGCTAAGGCACCTACTGCACATGAAGGAGCCCAAGACAATAATGAAGATAGCGATCAAGATCAAAATAATCATCATGGTGTAGATGTTA